CACAGAGACTCCAGTTTTGAAATGTAATTGAAAAGTAAATATCCCTTTTCACGCCTTGGGAGCATAGGGCATAAGGGAAGAGCACCCCATAGTTTTACAGACCAATCGGCAATAGGTGGGTAATGTCGTCAGCATTACGCCGGTAGTCTTTAAATGTAACGAAATGTAATTGACGAAGCTACTGGGAAAGAATTAATAATAACAGCCCAGAGGCGATACTCTTGGGTAATGTTGCAGTCCATTAACAATAAAAACACAACGCTCATCCAACAAACGGAAATTGCAGAATGTTTTAATAAACTCCCAGTAAACGTTTGGACTGACGCTAAAGAGGTGGTTGGGGCATCTCTAATTAGTAGGTTAATAATAATATAACCCACTGGAATTTAGGATGTGAAAAGCACCTTTTCCCATGCATTTCAGGGGTATTGGGTATATAGGGCTAGACCTATATTTTATACACCAACGGCACAGAATGGGTAATGTGGTCAACATCACACCGACTGCTTTTACGCCAGGACTGCACCCATGACCCATTCCAGGCTGGGTCGACCTGGGAGCAAGGGTCATTTTTGAAAAAAGACCTTCCGATCCGCAGGCGAGCGTCTAGCTACTACGCCACGACGATTCCCGGAATTTAGAATGTGGAACGTCTAGATATGAATTTAGAATGTGGAACGTCTAGATATGAATTTAGAATGTGGAACGTCTAGATATGAATTTAGAATGTGGAACGTCTAGATATGAATTTAGAATGTGGAACGTCTAGATATGAATTTAGAATGTGGAACGTCTAGATATGAATTTAGAATGTGGAAAGTCTAGATATGAATTTAGAATGTGGAACGTCTAGATATTAATTTAGAATGTGGAACGTCTAGATATGAATTTAGAATGTGGAACGTCTAGATATGAATTTAGAATGTGGAACGTCTAGATATGAATTTAGAATGTGGAACGTCTAGATATGAATTTAGAATGTGGAAAGTCTAGATATGAATTTAGAATGTGGAACGTCTAGATATGAATTTAGAATGTGGAACGTCTAGATATGAATTTAGAAAGTGGAACGTCTAGATATGAATTTAGAATGTGGAACGTCTAGATATGAATTTAGGAAGTAAAAAATTGATAGATAAAGTTTAAAATAGAGTACCTGGAAACTTTCATATGCGAAGTAAAAAAAATGAGCTTTCTTTCAGTTTATACTTTATTTCGATACCACACTAAAACAAGTGATCAAAATAAGATGAGATAAGAAAAAATTAAAGTCAAGATTAGTTGTATCAAGTCACTGGAATATAGGAAGAAATGAAATGAGGCTTGCATGTCTGTCAAGTCACTGGAATATAGTGAAATAATAATATAAATAATGAAAGCAGACATGTTGTATGTGTGTCAAGTCATTGGAATATAATAAATAGTGAAAGTAGGATAGTATCTCTGTCAAGTCACTAGAGTATAGGAAATAAGCGAAGGAGGCTTGTATATCTGTCAAATCATTGGAATACAGGGAATAATGAAAGCAGACATGTCGTATGTCTGTCAAGTCATCGGAAGATAGGACACAATGAAAGCAGACATGTATGTCTGTCAAGTTACTGGAATATAAATAGCGGAAGCAGACATGTTGTATGTGTGTCAAGTCGTTAGAGTATAGGAAATAACGAAAGCAGATATGTTGTATGTGTGCCAAGTCATTGGAATATATGAAATGATGAAAGGTGACATGTCGTCGTCAAGTCATTGGAATATAGGAAGTAATGAAAGGTGACATGCGGCATGTCAAGTCACAAGAATATATGAAATGATGAAAGGTGACATGCGGCATGTCAAGTCATTGGAATATAGGAAATAATGAAAGGTGACATGCGGTTGTCAAGTCACTTGAATGTGTGAAATAATGAAAGGTGACATACAACATGTCAAATCATTGAAATATATGCAATAATAAAAGTGGATATGCCTGTTGGAGATCCTCTGAGGCCTGCCTTCACTGTGAAGATGGTACCTCAATGATTGATTGATTTGCTGAACATCCCAGGCATGTAAAACTGTCAACCGTCTCCAGCTCTTTACGATCACTGACAACTGCATGTCTATCATTAGCACCAATCACTGTAATCTGTGTCTTCTTTTTGCCTATTTTTAGTCCATATTCATTGCAGGCGTCATCGTATGCAGATAGTAAACGCTGGAGTTGCTCCTCTGAGTGGGCTGTAACTGAAGCATAATCTACAAAGAGCAACTCTCTGATGAGTACTTGCCTAATCCCGATGTCTTTTATGCTACGAGCATAATAGAAGCTGCAGTCGGATCGAGAATGAATGTTCATCTTTTTTATAGTCAAATGAAACTAAAAATGGCCCCACTTCTATTTCGCTAAAACGCAACCATAATATACAAGGTTAGTTACGTATCGTGTATAGGACGTAGCAGAACCAACCCCCAGCATTTTTAGCTGTTGTGATTTTATCTAGGTAAATTTACCTTAAGTAGTTTGTCATTGCTTATGTTAACATATTATTTAAAAGACTATATAAAAGATAATGAATAAGTTTGGCTTACCCTGTGGCTGGATCATGCCTGTAGGCTGTGGCAGAGTGCCTGGCAAGTGTTATTGAATACAGGGTTATAACTGCGATAAATAGCATATTTGGAACGGTGTACCTGGTAACGTAAGAAATATGTAACTTCAGCATAAATTGTTTCAAGAAGAGCCTCAAATAAAATAAATCAGAGAAATAGAGAATTAAAAAACAGACACTGAAACTGGAAACAAATATACTAAGAAAACGACAAGGAAAGTGTGGACGACAAATCCTTAGGCAAAATTGGTTGAGAGAGGTTATATCTACTGGTCGTGGATAAGGGTCTTCGCGGTAACTGACTTTTTTTTTTTTTTTGTCTTCAAAAATTATCTTGGCTCCCAGGTCGACCCAGCCAGGAATGGGTACCACGTGGAGTCCTGTGAAGTAAAGGCGGCCGGCGTGTGATGATGACAATATTACCCGCTAAATGATGATTGATCTATGGTCTGTAAAATTTAGGTCTAGGCCAACGTGGCCAATACGGCGAAAGGAGTAGAAAAGGGTCTTTTACTTCATTTTATTAGGACTTCCGTTTTTCAAAATGGCAGATAGCAGCGGTGTTTATTTTCGCTGGCTGTCAATTCTCTCAGATTGTTCTGTTTCATAATCATGGACTGCTATTTTGTGCGCTTTTTCAACGCAGGATACAAGGTGTTTTTCGTGGGAACAGTGTGTATTGTTGTTGTGGTGAGTCGGGGCGGGATCAGAACCGACAGTTTTGACAGCCTCGACCACGCTGCTTTCGCAATGTGTTGATCGCGGCGGTCCACTCGGGAAGACAGAATCTCGTCAGCAGGGGACTGCAACTGTTTAGAGAGCAAACTCGATAAAATCTGTCCCCAGAAACGGAATGTGTCAACCATATATTTGGTGGAGATGAATCGACACATATGGTTAACTCAATGACCATTTTAGACTCTACTTATGTCAACAGGATTCCAGAGAATTAGAACATAATTCAGCACTAGACTGCACATGTAAAACTACATAAAAGGAGGATACGTATCACAAGAAAATGAACCAACTGGAGCGGGCGATCATGCTTTTCCATATCTTGCTATCTCCACCAGCATAAACCAATATTTGTAAAAAATAAAAATAAAAAATAACAGAAAACAGCCCTCAGTAAAGAGCCTTTTTCTTGAAATAAAGTAACAGTAAAAAGCCCTTTTCTTAAAATAAAGTAACAGTAAAGAGCGCTTTTCTTGAAATA